GGGCCGCCTCCCGAGGGGTAGAGCCTGAATGTCGCCGCGCGACTCCAGCCCCAGCCCGCCGCCACCACGGGAGCCTGCAGGGATTCTCTGATCGTCCCGGTTCCCGGCCGCGGGCCCGGCTGGCTTGTGCCTCGGCCCGCGTCCTGGCCGTGGGGGAAGGGGAGGGCGGAGGGAGCAGATGGCAGCAATTACGCTCCGACCCTCCCCCGCCCGCAGTCCGAGGCCGGAAGGTCAGCCTCTGGCTTGCGCTGGCCGAGGGGCGGTGTCCCCAGTCCTCAAACCCGGCGGGGCGGTGAGGGACACTCCGGTGGCCATCGCATGGACGTCCAGGCTTCCAGGGAAAAGGGCTTGAGTGCCAGGTGGGGACACTTCCTTTTTCAGGGACTGGGCCAGAGTCCCTTGGGAAAGGCCACCATCTCCCCTACCCCTTGAGTTGTTCGAGGCCAGTGCCCCATCCAGCTCCAGGCCTGAAGATTTATTTCCAGGTTGAGTGGCCCAGGGTGGGGAGAGTGGAGATGTATGTAGTGCACCTAAGTGACCTCAGGACGGATAGGGTGAGGGTTCGAAATCTAAGCAGTGGGCCTTGGCAGGTGCTGACTCATTATAGAGGAAAGCAGAGGGCACAAAGGACCATCAAGAGCCAGCCTGGAATGCCCTGATTTAGGGGTGCTGACTGTAGAGAGAAGGAGAAGCACATGGTTAGGGTTGGCTTCTGTGGGTCAGGGGCAAGAGGATTCTCCTGACCTGGAATAGAAACAACTGGGCAGTTTGGCTCCCTAGTTCTTTCTTCCTCCCCAAATTTCTCTCCTGTACCAACCCTGAATTTTGTCTGTGTGTCTCTAGGATCTTAAGTCAGCAAAACCCCCACCCCCACTAAGCCCCTATCATTTCCTTGCACAAACAGAGGCTCCTGTTTGCTTTCCAACAGTCAATTCACAGGCAGCCTGAGATACCTTTAAAAATACCAATCAGAAAAACAAAACCATACAGCATGTCACTCCCAGCTTCACAAACAGCCAAGGTTTCCCAACTTTCCTCCCTGGCCTGTGCTGATCTTTCCTCTTCCCACTCTCTCCTCTGCCTAACTCTGTTCACACCCATTGCCTTTCTGATCCTTGAGCTTGGCAGGCTTTCCCAACCTCTGGCTTGGCCTTGCTGGTCCCTTTGCTTAGATGGCTCTGCCCGGCTCCTTCACAGGTTTCTTCCTACCATCACGACCACAACACTAAAGCAACCTCTTCTGCCCTACCCAATCTGAAACTTTACCTTATATTTTTCTTTGCAGGACTCACCACATGCTGTATTTCTCTTCCTTATTCAACTGGTTTATGGTTGGCTTTATTTGCCAGAATGTCAGCTTCATGAGCTTGGGACCTTGACTTTCAGGCTCTCTGTTAGTGCAATGCCTGAAACAAGCCTTGGAGGTATGCAATATGTACTGCACACATTTACAGAATGAAGGAGCTGCTGAAACTGAACACTGGTCCATTCAGTCACCTAGGAGAAGCCAACTGCAAACACCTGTATGCACCTATGTTCACTCAGATGCCTTGCACACACAGGCAGGGTTGTAGTTTATGAGGACAATAATCTTGGTGGTCCACAGAGTGCTTACTATGTGCTGGGCATTATTCTAAGCACTTCACATGGCTCACCTAGTTTAATTTTACAACAACTCCTCTGTGAAGTAGACATTCACCCGCTCAGTTAACAAGCAGATACACCATGCTCACAGCTCTACAACAGAATTCACAGAAGAGTGTTTGGTCATGCCAGGATCAGTGTCACATGCCTAGGATTCCAGTGATTGGAAGGCTGAGGCAGGAGGATCAAACACTTGGGGCCAGGGACTGGGGTTGTAGCTCAGTGTTAGAGCACTTGTCTAGCACATGTGAGGCACTAGGTTTCATCCTCAGCACCACATAAAAGTAAATAAATAAACAAATAAAATAAAGGTATTCATCAATAACTAAAAAAAAAAAAAATTAAATAAAAAACTTAAAAAATATGTTGAAGGCCAGCATGGGCAACTTAGCAAGACCCTGTTTCAAAATAAAAATGGAAAAATAGGGCAGGGAGGTGTAATTCAGTGTTAAAGTACCCCTAGGTTCAGTCCTAGTACTGCCAAAAAAAAGAAAAAGTGTGTAGTCATTCAACAAACATGAATGTGCATCATAAGCATTGATGATGCTTAATTGTTACTATATATATATATGATAAATATAAAGGTGAGCAGGGGGAGTCATTATTATTACAGGGAGGTGGAAACAAACAGAAGTCCAACAGAACATGTGGGAAGGGTCAGCACGGTAGGGGCTGGCACAGGGCTAGTTTGGTCAAGGAGGCAGGGGGCAGTTTAGTCACAGCTTTGCCCTTACTCTGGGTACCCATAACATCCACAGTGGTGTGGAAGAAAGGGTCTAGTTCCTAGTTCCGTTCTGCCACCCTCCAGAGGGTCCTGCACAGGAGAATTGAGAGTTCAAAGCCAGCTTCAGCAACAGTGAGGTGCTAAGCAACTCAGTGAGACCCCTTCTCTGAGTAAAATACAGAATAGGGCTGGGGATGTGGCTCAGTGATCAAGCGCCCCTGAGTACAATCCCCATACAGTTGGGGTTGTGGCTCACTGGTAGAGCGCCCGCCTAGCACATGCAAGGCACTGAGTCTGATCCTCAGCATCACATAAAAATAAATAAAATAAAGATATTGTGTCCAACTACAACTAAAAAATTTAAAAAAATAAAAAATAAAAATGCTCAGGAAGGTGCTTCATCGGCCACAGAGGCCTTGCCCATGAAAGAATAAGGGCACTGGTACAGGCCACTAACGGGAAAGCTGGCTTACAGCTACTCTTTGGTGCCTATGGATCCACAGGTCAGTGCTGTGTGGCGCTCAGTGCAAGGGCCTGGGTCTCACCCATATCCGACTTCTTAGCAAGTTTTTGGCCTTGCAGGAAGAGCTGGAACTCCCTAGGTGTTTGTTGAGTGAATGCCTGACTGAGCAAACGACCAGGGAACCAGCAAGAGGAGGAGAAAAAAGGAGTGAAAGCCGAGCGAGTGCAGCAGGTATTAGAGACAGGGAGGTCAGCCTCCGAGCCTCAGCTTCTTCATCTGTAAAAGATGGTGGTGAGATTTAGCCACCTTTCTGGCTCCAGGGTGGATCAGCGGAGGTGGGACAGGTCGTGGAAGCCACCTCTAGTTATTTACGCAGGGCCTCCAGGGCAGGTAGGGGGCGCTGAAGGAGCCGGTGTTCCCCTCCCCCACATCCCTGTCCCCCGGAATTTATAGATTCCTCATTGTCCTGCACAAAGGCCTTCTTGGGGAGGGGGCGGGGTGGGTGAGGAGACTAAGGAATTAAAAAGTCAGAGGCTGAGTAACAGCCAGCCACACCCGCGGCCCCATAAATCTGCCCCGGCCCCTGCGAGATGGACTGACTTGTCCTCACCCGTAGTGGCTGGGGGGCTCCCGGTGCTGCGACCAGCTCGCCCTGCCCGCCGCTGGCTCTGGTGTCTCCCGGAGGTGGGGGATGGGGGGAGGGATGGCCCCCCTCCTGTTACCCCTCTGCCTCAGCAGGTCCTTCCTCCCATCTTGCTCCCCTGAGATCCCCAATAATTCTAGTTCACGGCTTTCTGTGGGTGTGCTGAGTCCCTGGGTGGGGGAGGGGGTCCTCCAGGCCCAGACTCCCTGGAAAATGGCCTCCTTTCCCAACTCTGGCCTCTTGAGTAGAGGGTGGAGGCTGAGGCTAGGACTGACAGATGGTGCAGTGTTAACAGAAAACAGAATTACCGTGCTGCTTGTCCCTCCATCTTCCCCATGGGAGGAGGTGCCCTTCATACTGGGAAATGACAATGAACTCCAGTAAGAGGACTGCAGAGGAGACAGAAATAGAAGCTACAGGGGATAGGGGACCCTGAACAAGCACAAGTGGGCCTGACTTGGATTCCATCCCTGCCACTTCCTGGCCAGGTGATCTCAAGCAATCTATCAACCACTGAGCCTTTGTTTCCTCATCTATAAAATGGAGCTATGAAAAAACCTATCTTCCCGTTCTCACTGGCTTTCATGAAGATAATGTGGATATTTGTATTTGTAAATTGGTCTTTAAAACTTGTGAAGGTGTAAAAATGTAAGAGGTTACTTATTATAAACTGCACAGGCCAGCACAGGATTGTTCTTTATTACTACTACTACTACTACTACTACTATTATTTTGGTACCAGGAATTGAACCCAGGGCCACTTTACCACTCAGCCACATCCCCAGCCCTTTTTATTTTTTATTTTGAGACAGGGTCTTGCTGAATTGCTTAGGGCCTCGCTAAGTTGCTGAAGCTGGCTTTGAACTTGCAATTCTCCTGCCTCAGCCTTCAGAGCCACTGGGATTACAGGTGTGCACCACCACCCCTGCTCATAAGATTATTTTTAAAACTTCTTCTTTTTACAACAAAATAAAGAACACCACAGTATATCACAAAATTTTATAAAACTTTGCTTTTAGTTAAACATATTTCCACGTTTTCTGGGTCCTGATTGATATAAATGTTTCTCTGGATGATGATCAAAAAAGTTTGAAACAGATTAGAGGAAATTCTTCAGTGACAGCTCCAGGATAGAATGGTGGATAAATGGAAAGTATCACCTTGAAATGCAGCAGGCTAAATGAAAAGAGCACTGGACTGTGGCCGCCCAGGCCAGGGAGACCAGGTTGTGAGCAGCTCTTTGTAACTGAGGTTGGTGGTGATGGATAGAAGGGCCTTACTGAGGAATTAGCCAACCGTCCTTGGTGGGCAGTGAAACTCACTTTCCTTTGTAGGATTCCTTGAGCCTGCATCCTGAAGATGTGGTCCCTGAATGCCCTCTGGGCCATGAATACAACTTTCTTAACATGGCCCCAGCTGAGCCAGAGAGAATGGGCTGGTCAGAGGGAGCTTTGAACTCCTTTGCCTGGAAACTGCAACCCCCTACCCCACCCCCACCCCACCTGCCCCACCCCCACACATCACAATTCACTAGGATTGCAGAAGGATCTGCTACAGGTATGATGTAGATGTAGTGGTGGTCAGAACCCTCCTTCCTGAACTTCACCCATGACCCTTGTCCCTGCCCACATCCAAGGGGCCATCGTCCAGTGAGCTGGTCAGAGCAGGCCCTAAATCAATCCCAGACTTTCCTGGCTGGCCCTGAGTTATGAGCTGCAGGCTTTGTGATGTAGATCAGGGTTGGGGAGTAGAGGGCATGACCTGTGGCAGGTCACACAGGACCCCCAGAAGGGGCTGAGCTGGGATCAGAGGCCACCTCCTCCATTCCCTGCCCCACCCGGCTAGGTCCCATCCTGCGCCTAGTCTTTGCCTTTATGCTGGGTCTGGCCTTTCTCTGGCAGTACCTGCCCCCAAGCCTGTAAGCTGGAAGTAGGGCTTCTCATGAAGAAAGAGCCCAGAAGAAAGGAAGAGGATGAGATATTTGGCTCCCCAAAGATAACTGGTTCATGTTCAAATCAGACTATCATGTTTCCTGAGTTCCTTCTCTGTGGATTTGTCACTCTGCTCTCCTCAAACAACCCTTTCCTTTCTGATTCCCTCCTGACTGAATTCCACAAGTCAAGAAGAGAGTCAAGCCTCACTCCAGACAATATATGTTATCAGGGCTTAAGAGGGAGAATTCGAGGAATAGAGATGGGAAGAGCCAGTCAGTGAGCAAGGTTAGAAGTTAGAGGAAAATCAAAGACTTTCAAAGTCAAAAGAGTATCAAAAGAAGACAATGGAGAGAGTGTCGCTGAAGAGAAATCGGAGTAGCAAGCAAAGATAATTCCCCTCAGATCCCATCAGCTAAGAGAACAAAAGGAGGATTACCCATAATATTCCTTTATTTAAAAAAAAATTTTTTTCCCGTTGGACACAATGCCTTTATTCCATTCATTTATTTTTACGTGGTGCTGAGGATCGAACCCAGAGCCCCACATGTTAGGCGAGCGCTCTACCACTGAGCTACAATCCCAGCCCCATATTCCTTTATTTTTGATCCTTAAGGGTACCATACAGCTAGGAACATCAGCATACACTTGTCTATAATCCCAACTACTTAGGAGGCTGAGGCAGGAGGATTGCAAGTTTGAGAATCAGCCTCTGCAACTTAATGAGACCCTGTCTCAAAAATAAAAATAAAAAAAATATATAAAGGGCTGGGGATGTAGCTCAGTGGCAAAGCACCTCTGGGTTCAATCCCTAGTACCACCACCAAAAGAAAAAAAAAGTTACCATAGAGACACCCCAGAAGGCCCTGACTGATATTTACCTGTATCACCCAGGATCTTATTCATCATTTTACACATTAAATGGCAACCTCCACTCCCCAGCACCACTTTTACCTCCATCAGCAGATACATACTTAGGGAGGGCTGGACTCAGACTGGGGACTAGGCAGGGGCTGGGGCGGCATCCCTGGAGTTTTCCTGGGGAAGGAAGCCTGGACAGGCACCTTGGCACAGGGTATCCATGAGGGAGGCAGAAATTTAAAGAAACATCACAGACTTCCTGGATATCCAGCCAGTTTGGCTAAAGATGATCTAGAGAAGTGACTCTCCTATTCTTTGCATTTTCAGCCAAGCCCTGACAAGCCCTTGCCCCTGTCTCTGACCCTGGAACCCTCTGCTGTAGCCTGGCTGTGCGTGGGACGCCTCCCAATTCCTACCCACGGCTGCCACCTGCTGGCTGAAAGTGGCCTTGCGGAAACTCGACGCTTGGCTTGTGAGGGCAGGGGATTGATCTCCACTGAACCAGAAGTAGTTTCTCTAGGCTTGGGGGAAAGAATTGGAAAAGCAAAATGTGAACTCCCCTTTCACCTAGTTAGGTGTCTTTGAGGCCTGTCAGCATAGGTTAAAATGTCCCTATCTCTCATCCCATTATTCCTGCATGGTGCTGTGGGACTTCTCAGGCCAAGGAGAGACTGTCAGGGAACTCACATTTACCAAATAGATAACACTGTTCTGGATGCAGGAGACAGAGATGCCAAGGTGAGAATAACAGCCAAGAATGAGATTAATGATAATCAGTGGAAAACTCACAAGAGCTGAAATATATGCCTGTCAGAGTTCAAATTTTCAATTAATAGTTATTGAATGGGCTGGAGGTGTATATAACTCAGTGGGAGAGCACATGCTTAGCAGGCCCTGGGTTCCATTCCCAACACCAAAAAAATAAAAAATAAAAAAGTTAGCAAATGAATGGATTAAAGATAGCAGGAAGGAATGGTGAACTGTGTGCACAGGAGAGGTTGAAGAGAACAGGAAGAAGCAGGCCGGGGGGATCTTTCTGATTTTTCTTTTTTATCATTAGTTACCAAGTCATCTCATTTTGTTCTTCTTTCTCTTCCTCTTCCTCCTCTTCTCCTTTTTTTTAATGTTGAGGGTTGAACCCAGGAGCACTAAGCTACATCTCCAGCACCCCTCTTTTAGAATTCTTATGTTGAGACAGGGTCTTGCTAAGTTGCCCAGACTGGCCTGGAACTTGTGACCCTTCTCCCTCATCTCCCAAAGCAGTTAGGGTTACAGATGAGTGTCAGCTTATTGGCTTACTCCACTTTTAAAAATTAACTGTATTTTAATGAGCATCATCTTGGGAAGGTTTCTCAACCTTGTACGTTGGAGTCACACAGGGAGATTTTAAAAATTCTGTTGTCTAGGCTGTGTCCCCAAATCTCTGGAATGGGTTCCAGTCAGCTCCATTTCTTTTCTTTCTCTCTTTCCACACTATTTTTTTCACATTTTTATATTTTTACATAATGATGGAATTTGTTGTTACATTTTCATACATGCACATAATATAATAATATAATTTGGCCAATCATTACCCAGCACTTTTCTCCTCCTTCCCTCCTAACCCTTGGTCCCTTTCCTCTACTGATCTCCCTTTAATTTTCATGAGATCCACCCCCACCTTTGTTTTTCCTTTTTCCTCTCTAGCTTCCACATATGAGAGAAAATAAAGGACGCTGGACCACCTGAGTTTGACTTATTTCACTTAACATGATGGTCTCTAGTTCCATTCGTTTTCCTGCAAATGCCATAATTTCATTTTTCTTTATGGCTGGATAAAACTCCATTGTGTATACATGCCATATATTTTTTTTATCCATTCATCTACTGATGGATACCTAGGCTGGTTCTATAGTTTGGCTATTGTGAATTGTGCTGCTGTAAACACGGGTATGCAGGTATCACTGTAGTAAGATGCCTTTAATTCTTCAGGGTAAATACTGAGAAGTGGTATAGCTGGGTAATACAGTGGTTGCATGACTAGAGTTTTGAGGAACCTTCATACTGATTTCCATAGAGGTTGTACTAATTTACAGTTCCACCAACAGTGTGGAAGTGCTCCTTTTTCTCCACATCCTCTCCAGCATTTATTATTGTTTGTAGTCTTTTTTTTTTTTTAAATGGTGCTGGGAAAACCCATGCAAAGCAAGCACTTTACCAACTGAGTGGTATTCCCAGCCCCTTGTTTATATTCTTGATGACTGCCATTCTGACTGGTGTGAGATGAAATCTCAGTATAGTTTTGATATTCATTTCCCTAATTGCTAATGATGTTGAACATTTTTCATGTATTTGTTGGCCATTTATATTTCTTCTTTTGAGAAGTGTCTGAGAAGTGTCTGTTTAATTCATTTGTCCACCTTTTTTTTTTAAAGAGAGAGAGAGAGAGAGAGGGAATTTTAATATTTACTTTTTAGTTTTAGTAGTTCGGCAGACATAACATCTTTGTATGTGGTGCTGAGGATCGAACCCGGGCCGCACGCATGCGAGGCGAGCGCGCTACCACTTGAGCCACATCCCCAGCCCTCATTTGTCCACTTTATTAATTGGGTTATTTGATTTTTTTGGTGTTTTTTGAGCTCTTTGTATATTCTAGATATTAATCCTATGTCAAAAGAGTGGCTAGAAAAGATTTTCTCCCATTCTGTGGGTTCTCTCTTCACATTCCTAATTGTTTTCTTGGCTGAGAAATTTTTTAATTTGAGGCTGTCCCATTTATTAACTCTTGGCATTATTTCCTGAGCTTTAGGTGTCAGTGAGAAAGTCCTGCTCGTTCCTAAAAGCTGGAGTGTTGACCTTACGTTTTCTTCTAGGAGTTGCGTAGTTTCTGATCTAATTCCTAGGTCTTTGATCCATTTTGAATTGATTGTTGTGCAGGGTGAGAGATAAAGGTTTAGTTTCATTCTTCTACATATTGATAACCAGTTGTCCCAGCACCATTTGTTAAAAAGGCTGTCTCTTCTCCATTGTATGTTTTTGGCTCCTTTTTCAAAGATCAGATGAATGTAGATGTGTGGCTTTGTCTCTGTGTCTTCTATTCTGTACCATTGGTCTATGGTTTTTAGGCCAGTACCATGCAGTTTTTGTTTCTGTAGCGCTGTAGAATGATTTGAAGTCAGGTACTGAGATGCCTCCAGCATTGCTCTTTTGACTTATATTGCTTTGGGTATTCTTGGTCTTCCAAATCAATCTTAAGACTGTTTTTTCTAGTTCCATGAAGAATGTCATATTTTAAGGGGAATCCCATTGAATCTGTATATTGCCTTTGGTAGGATGACCATTTTAACAATATTAATTCCAGGCAGCACTATTTCTAAAAAGTCCTTAAGCGATTACATTGTGAAGCCAATGTTTAGAACTACTGTTCTAAACTTGTGGTCAAACTTGTGATCCTCCTGTCTCAGCCTCATGAGCCACTGGGATTACAGGCATGAGCCACTGTGCTTGGCTAGGAAAAATTTTAATAAATTTAACCATGTCAAAATTGAAGTTTTCTAGGGCTGAATAAATGACAAGTGTTAGCAAAGATGTAGATGAACTTATGCACTGCTAGGGGCACACTGCAAAACAGAGCATCCTGACAGTATGTGGTCAATAAGCATGTACGGGCCCTAAGACCCAGCAGTCTCAGAGATGTTCTTGCCTGGTTCCACAACTACCTACGTACAAGGATAAGTACTGAAGCATTATTTGTAGTGGTAGGAAGTTGGAGGCAACCTAGGTGTCCGTCACTGGAAGAAGGGATAAATAAAATGTGGTGGATGCAAACCATGGAATTCTATGCAGCAGAAGAAGAGAAAAGAAAGGATGAAGTAAGAGGGCCCCACATCTTTTATCAAGAGAAAAAAGATTTTCTTTTTTGGGGGGGGTAACAGGGATTGAACTCAGGGGTGCTTAACCACTGGGCAACACCCCCAGCTCTTTTCTGTATATTATTTAGAAATAGGATCTCACTGAGTTGCTCAGGGCCCTGCTAAGTCACTGAAGCTGGCTTTGAACTTGCAATTCTCCTGCCTCAGCCTCCCAAGGCATTGGGATTATAGGCGTGTGCATCATGCCTGGCCTAAGGTGCAAAGATTTTCTCAGGAACCCCACTATTACAGTTTGGATCTGGAATCCAACTGTAGGCTCACATATTGAAGGCTTGGTCCTTAGATGGGGATGTTATTGGGAATTGGTGAAAACTGTAGGAGGTAAGACCTAGCTGAAGATAGCGGGCCTTGTGGGCGTACTTTTCAAAACCATATTTTGTCCTGTACACATTAGTAGTCTCTCTTGCTCTGCCCCTGCCCCCTGCTTCCCAGCAGCTGAGGTGATCGGTTTTGCCCCACCATGGCCCCCCACTGTTACGCCCGGGCCTCACCACAGGCCCAGAAACAATGGAGCCAACTGACAATGGACTGAAATCTCTGAAGCCATGAGCCAAAATAAATCATTTATTTCCTATAAGTTGATTTCCTCAGATATTTTGTCATGGTAGTAGAAAGCTGCTAGCATTTCACTGGTCAAAATTGTATTACATGTTCACACCTAACTAAAAGGTGACTAGAAAGAAGGGGAATTGGGAGATGTCTGACCTCATCTACTAGATACCATCTGACTTCTGCGTAGAGGCCCATAGTGTGCATTCACCACATTTTACTGAGATGGCTTGAGGGGTAGAAGCTTTTTTTCCCCCCCTCCCTCAAGCCTCTTCCTCTGGGATTATTTTTTATTTTACTTTTTTTCTACTTAATGCTTTTTATTAGTTCATTAGAGTTATACATAACATTAGGATTCATTTTGACATAATTACAAAAGCATGGAATATAATTTGCTGCAATTGTGTCCCGATGACTTCCCCTTTCCATTCCCTCCTCCACCCCCTGTTCCCTTGCCTCTACTCTACTGATCTTTCTTCTATTTATTTAGAGGGTTTTTTTTTTCCCCATTAGTGCATCATGGATATACGTAAAGGTAAAATTCACTGTGGTATACTCACGTATGTACATAGGAAAGGTTTTTTTTTGTTTGTTTGTTTTGGTACCAGAGATTGAACTCAGGGGTCCTTAACTACTGAGCCACATCCCAATCCCATTTTTGTAATTTATCTAGAGACAGGATCTCACTGAGTTGCTTAGCACCTCACTTTTGCTGAGGCTGGCTTTGAACTCAAGATCCTCCTCTCTCAGCCTCCCGAGCCACTGGGATTACAGGCGTGTGCCACTGCCTGGCCATAGGAAAGTTTGATCAGATGTGTTCCACCATTCCTGCCTTTTGCCATCTCCCCCCATTATCCCCTTCCTCTGGTCCACTGAGCTCTCTTCTATTTTCATGGCACCCCGTCACATCTTGAGGTGTATCAGCTATCTTGTGATTAAAAGGAAAAGTAAGAGCAAGCCATGACATCTAGTTGCTTAACACTAACAGCTTAATATCCCTGAACGTTTTTATCTTGCGTGAAAAATAAGCCCCTATTTTTTCTTCTTTCTTTCTTTTTTCCCCTGGGCCTGAGGATTCAATTACTTACTTACTTACTTACTTAATTAATTAATTAATGGTGTTAGGAAACTGGGGGTTGAACATACAAGGTTTTACCACTGAGCTACACCCCCAGCCCTTTTATTTCGAGACAGTCTCCCTTGCTTAGGGCCTCATTAAGTTGCTGAGGCTGACCTGGAACCTGTGATCCTCCTGCTTCAACCTCTGGAGCAGTGAGTAGCTGGGATCACAGGCATGAACCACCACACTCAGCTAAAACCCTGTTGCTTAAGCCATGCATGTCAGAGTTCACTTGCAGACAAAAGAAATGAATCTGGCTAAGTTTAAGCAGAAAGGATTGGGAAAGCAAGCTCTGTGTAGGGAGCAACTTCTGGCTTTGAGAGTCACATGAGCCTGTGATGAGAAAACAACAGTCCCTACTACAGGAAGCTGATGAATCAGGAAGCTACTCACCAGAGCCCGCCTGCTGCTGTCATGATTTGTGACAGCAAAGCGGATGTCCCAAGCTATGTTGCTCTGTTCCAAATTTATGTCTTGCACAAGAGCAGAACCTAAACCACAGATTCCTTGTTTAAGAGAACCTGGGAAGTGCTGTTTTAGCTTTCTAGCTCCTGTAGTTTCGAAGAAACCCTAAAAGCAGCTTTGGATTGATGTTAAGCAATCAGCCCACTACAGACAGCTTTTGGTTCCTCACAACCAAACACACTCCTAACTGCTACGCTACACAGCAAGCAACAAGGATAGGTTTTTAGTTTGTTTATTTGTTTTTTGCATTACTGGGATTGAGCCTAGGCACCTACTCTACCACTGAGCTGCATCCTCAGGCCTTTTACATTTTGAGATAGGGTCTCACCAGGTTGCTGAGGCTAACCTTGAACTTGCAATCCTCCTGCTTCTGCCTCCCAATTAGCTGGGATTATAGGCATGGGTAAGAACAGATCTTAAAACAAGGTACTGAGTGAGACAAACAAAAAGAGCTCTGTAGTACCATTCTTAATGTTAGTTAAAAACAGATACACAAATCCAAACTAACTTTTTCAAAACAAATGTATATTTTCTTGTTTTTTGGTAATGCAAATTGAACCGAGGAGCACTTTACCATCCAGCCATATCCCCGGCTCTTTTTAATTTTTGAGACAGGGTCTCACTAAATTGCTTAGGTTGACTTTGAACTTTCGATCCTCCTGCTTCAGCCTCCTGGCTGGTGGGAATTACAGATATGACACCACTATACTCAACTTTGTGTTTTTTTAAATTTTGAGACAGGATCCTGCTAAATTGTGGAGTCTAGCTTGAACTTGTGATCCTCCTTCTTCAGCCTCCCAAGTCACTGGGATTACATGCTTTTGCCACACACCCTGCTGAAATGTACATTTTTAAGGATATATAAGTGCCAATTGGTAAGGGGAGGAGGAAAAATTGGAACCAGGACCAAGGATGAAAGGGAAACAAAGAAAAACAAAAAAAGAAAGCAGTGAAAGTGATACAAACAGGGGGATATAATTGGCTCAATTTTCTATATCAGATGTCTAATTCGTTAAATTTAATATTAATTTAAATAATTTAACAACAACCTATTATTGCATTAATAATTTAACTTAAAATTTCACATTTAATTTACCACATCAAAACTAATCCATTAAATTGAACACATCATAAATTCTATACTTCTTTATTTCTTTTTGTGGTACCGAGGATTGAACCCAGGGATCCTTAACCACTGAGCCACATCCTCAGCCCTTTTTTATATTTTATTTAGAGACAGGGTCTCACTAAATTAGAGCCTTACTAAATTGCTGAGGCTGGCTTTGAACTCTTGATCCTCCTGCCTCAGCCTCCTGAGCCACTGGGATTACAGGCTTGCACTACTGCCCCTGGCAAGTTCTATATTTTGCGTATGAGGGTCGGGGGGCAGATACTGGGGATTGAACATAGGGCACTGTAATACTGTTACATCCCCAGCCCTTTTTATTTTTGAATCAGGGTCTCACTGATCACTGAGGCTGGCCTCTAATTCACAATTCTGCCTCAGCCTCCAGAGTGGCTGGGATTACAGGAGTGCTCCATGGTACCTGGCTATAATCTATACTTAACTGGACAATTCTTTATTCCTTGATTTCCCCAAAACCTATAAGAAAGAAAGAAAGAAAGAAAGGGAAAGAAAGAAAGAGAAAGTCAGTCCAGGTGACTTCTGAAGACCCCCACTCCAAGTGCTCCTCAGAGTCCCAACCCTATTTAATGGGATACCTGCACTCATACACTCTCCTGCCACCACCCCCTCCCTAATCTACTCCATCAAAGGGGAGGGACTTCAGGCCTAGACCCCACAACCTTTCCATCTTCAAAAGCTCTGTCTTGGAGGCATTCAGTTGGTGCAGAAGGCTGAAGGTGAGCGCATCTGGTCCGTGCCAGTCCTACTCTGGGCAGCCGCCCCCACCTCGCCCCAGGTAGGAGGAGCTGCCCTGGAGCGACTCGGCCTGGCAGGTTCTTGGGGCGGATCTTGGATGGCTAAGACAGAGCACCTGCCCCTCCAGGTCCCCAATCCCTTCCTAACCGGCTTGACCCAGCTCAGCCCTGAGGTGTTTGCAGCAGCTCTTTCTGAGAAAGTCCAGCCAGCCATCTGTTATCTGCATTGCTTCCTGGGGAGGGACAGTCCCTCCAGCCACTCCAGAGACCTAGTGAGTGTGCTCCTACGCATCTGGGAAGTGCTCCTGGGCCCCAGGCTGTGCCACAGCAGTGACCACCTCCTGAGGACCCTCAGAGCCCCAGGTAAGAGAAAAAAAGACAGACCCCTGCCCTGAACCTCACTGACACCCTGTCCTCTGCTGGATCCCCAGCCACCCGGTGCTTGTCCTTTGTCCTCCACCTGGTGCATGGGCGAGACCCCTGCAGGAGAAAGGCCTTCCCTGGGGAGAGGGTTGCAGCTGGGGGACCATCCCTCGGATTCAGGGAGACTCTGCTCTTCTCCCTTCTGCCATAGCTGCTGCCAACCGCATGAGGAAGGACTTGTCTTCTGGCCCCAGACTGGAGGAGGAGGGTCTGCCATTGCCGGGGGAAGGTGGCCATGTCTGAGGCACCATCCTGCCCCAGCAAGGGCACCGCAACCCCAGGCTGCAAGCTGGGGGCCCTGTACCGGGCCTGTGTCCACAACGACCCCACCCAGCTCCAGGCCAAGCTGGATGTTGGGGTCTCCCCAGAGGAGGCCACCCAAGTGGACAGCAATGGGAGGGTGAGGAGCTCCAGGTGCTTTCCAGGGCAGCTGGGGGCAGGGGGCTTGGTATCCCCCCACATCACCCTGGTCAGCCTCTGAGAGAGTTTTGGGGCAATCCCCACTGCCTGGAGGAAGAGGGTGGGTGAGGGTGGACTTCACAGGGTTTGGGACAGGCTCTGGACAGATGTGGAGGACAAGGGAGACCCTGAAGGAAAGCAGGGCTGAGCTGTCCTGCCCCCAGACAGGCCTCATGGTCGCCTGCTACCACGGCTTCTCGAGTGTCGTTGCCCTGCTCAGTCGCTGTCCTTTCCTCGATGTGAACCATCAGGACAAAGAAGGGAACACGGCCCTCATGCTGGCTGCCCAAGCAGGTGCGAGGCTGCTGACCCCCACCCTTCACCAGCCATCAGGGCCACAGCCCCACATTTTTTTGTGCACAAGGTCCACGCCAGGCTTTGTGGCGTCTGGTGCAGGGTGGTTTGGGAATCTTGTCACCCCTTGCTTTGAAGCCAAGCTCCACCTCTGTGCCCTGCAGGCCACGCTTCTCTGGTGAGTCTCCTGCTCAACTACTACGCGGGCCTGGACCTAGAGCGCCGGGACCAGCGGGGACTCACAGCACTGATGAAGGCTGCCATGAGGAACCGATCGGAGTGTGTGGCTGCCCTCCTCATGGCAGGTGCAGGGGGCCTGGACTGGATGTGTGACCTCCAGTCCCTCCGGAAGCCTCCCCACCAGACGTTAATTCCGCCATCATTTAGTTGCAAAGAGGAGAGGGGTGGAGATGGAGGGTCAATCTAGGCCAACTTCCTGGAGGAGGGGAGCTTGCTGTGGGCTTCTCACAATGAACAAAACCAAGCTATTGACAGCTGTGTTTATGGAGATCTCAGGAAGAAAAGTTTGGGAGAATAACCTAGACCAGCTGTAAAACCCCAAACCCAAAAGGGCTGGTATCTAGAACCACACTCTTGGGTTCTGGTCTTTGCCCTGCTGCTGACTGAGTGACCCAAGGCAGGTGGCCTTCCTTTCTGGACCTCACCATCATGAGGGTGCTGGCCTTGTCTAAAATGACCTTCAACTCTGGCAAGCCTGGCCCCTAGGAGACGCATGATGTGGCCTTTGAGGCTGGTGGCCAAGTGGAATTAGGGGGTGGCGAGGCCCTTGTGATTGTGGGCCCTTGTTATTCCTGGAGGTGGGGCTGCCCTCTGCTGGTCACTCCGGGGGATACCCGCCTCCAGCTTTTCCCTTCCCTCACCCTGGCTTTGGGATGAGACAGGAGGGAGATCCACAGCCTCCTTTGTCTCAGAGTGACTGCTTCTCTCCCACCCCCAGGATGGAGGGGTGTGCTGGTGAAGAAACAAACCAGGAGAGGGGACCAGCAGAACCTGACCCCACATGCCTCCCCCAGAGGGTGCGGGCCTCTGCCTGGGCTGAGCAACCGTCTTCCACTCCTCAGCTCAGCCTCTTGGATTCCAGAGGCTGTTATTCGGCTCTGGGTTGAAGACACCAATAGTTCTCAGAAGTCCTTTCCCTGTCTGGACTTCAGTCTCTTCATCTCTTTCGAACAAGAAGTAGCAATCGCAGGCTGGGACTCTCTGGTTTTGAATCTAACACAAATCAGTCCTGGGGCTCAAGCCTCTGCTCTTCTGCAAGTCCCACCATTCCTTCTCCCACCCACTTGTCACTCTGTGCATCTTCCTAGGTGCTGACCTGACCTCTGTGGATCCTGTTCGGGGCAAGACTGCCCTGGAGTGGGCCTTGTTGACTGACAGCTTCGACACGGTGCAGAGGATCCGGCAGCTGCTGCAGAGGCCCCGAGTAGAGCAACTGAGCCAGCATTACCAGCTCGAGTGGCCGGCCTTGCCAGGGCTCGTGGCCCAGGCGCAAGCCCAGGCCCAGGTTGCTCCCTCCTTCCTAGAAAGATTGCAGTCCACCCTGAGCTTCTCCTTTGCCCAGTCTCCTCAGGAGGGGGGTGTTCTGGACCACCTTGTGACCATCACTACGGGCCTGGCCAGTCCCTTCCTCGCCACTGCCTGCCACACACTGTGTCCTGACTACCCACCTGCACTCGGCACCCGAAGCAAGTCTGTGCCAGAACTGCTAGGTACTGCCCCACCTCCTCCTCCAGTACCCCAGCCCCCCCAGGAAGTACCTGGCCCCAGGGTCTTTGTTCCCTACCAGAGCCCTCAGGGCATGTTCTCTCAGTGGCTGCAGCCCAGGAGTAGTACTAGCACTAGGTCCCAAGTTCCCAAGATCCTCCTCTCCAAGGCACCCTCAGCCCCTAGACAATACAAGTTTATGTCCAAGTCTTCAGGGCATAATAACCTGGTCCTTCCTCTCTGGCGATACCAGGAGCTCAGGTTGGAGAGGAAGAGGCAGGAGGAGGCAAGGTTGGCACAGGATCAGGGGAAGATGGGCTAGGCCAGGATAGGAGCAGGTAATTAGGCCTTTTTCTATGCTGCATTCTTGCCTAGAGATACTTCTGCCCCCCCATCCACCTCTACCTAAGTCCTAAGTAAAATGGTTTCCAACCTATGTACAAAGTTGTTATAGCACTGTATGTAATAGCAGAGTAGAACTAACCTAAGTGTCCTTCAATAGGGGATTGGCTAACATTTGGGGGCGGATTACTATATTCTGTGCAATGCATTACAAAGCTAGAGTAAGGAAGTTCTTTATGTCCTGATATTGAAACAAACTGAATTTGGCCCCAATCTGAATTGGGAACAACTTTCTCCTTCTGAGAATGGAGACTGAAGGGCTGCCTCCCTGCCCCTTCCTTGGCCTGACAGATGCTAAGAAGCTGAGAGGCAAGACAGCTCTCTCCCGGTCCTATGTAGCACAGGCTAACAAAATCTATATATGTACATTTCCTGCCTTTTGTCTCACTTCCCTACTGCTACTGCTTCTCCTTTAAAGCTCTGTTCACGTTCAGGGATTTCAAAGATGTAACTTATGCCACAATACGTTTCTTCTATCTTCCTTTAAAACTAGCTTTGAATAAAATCTATCTTCCTATCAATTTGATTCCAAATATATCTGGAGCTAGTTTCTTCCTCCCTGGGCAGGACTGATGCCATCCGGTCACAACATAAAGCTGTCTTCAAGATGAATTAAAGTGATAATAACTGAGAGGTGGAAAGGCATGGATGTCATCCCACTATTTGTCAAAGTAAAATTTTCACCAATTTTATAAATATGACTTACACACATACCTGTAATCCCAGTGGCTTGGGAGGCTGAGATAGGAGGATTGTGGGTTCAGAGTCAGACTCAGCACAAGCGAGGTGCTAAGCAACTCAGGGAGACCCTGTCTCTACATAAAATACAAAATAGGGCTGGGGATGTGGCTCAGTGGTAAAGTACCTCTGGATTGAATCCCCAGTACCAGATAAACAAACAAATATAGAGTACCAAGATGTAGTTAACAACTTAATAAGCCAACCAGAAGGATGGATCAAAGAAAGAAATGAAAGACCATTACTGACAATCAGTGGAAGAAAATATGCTGGAATAAGATTGTAAAATTAGGCCAGGCGCAGCGGCACACCCCTGTAATCCCAACTGCATGGGAGGCTAAAGCAGGAGGATTGTGAGTTCCAGGTCAGCTCAGGCAATTTCGTAAGACCCAGTCTCAAAATAAAAAGGGCTGGGAATGTAGCTCAGTAGTAGAGTGACCCTTGGTTCAATCCCCAGTACAAAAAAAAAAAAGCCCTTCAAATGAAGTTTATTAGCCAATGATCTGAAATGAAATACCTTTATGGGGCACTTAGTAACTCAGGGGGGATTTGATTTGCAAACTTTGATTATTTCATTCTTAACACATTTGTTGCAGAAATATATTTGCTTGTATATTTATCATAATCCTAGCAATCATTTATAAGGGGCTTACTATATGCCTTAACATATTTACCTCTCCCAACAATCTTAAGGATTCCAGCTTGGAGGATAGGAGGTACAGAGAAGTTAAATAATCGATCGAATCCCATAGCTGGAAGCCAGCAGAGATCAAGATTGAGACTGAGACCCACTGGCCCAGTTGTGGCCTCCACAAAGCTACCCCATATGCCCTCACTGGAAAAACTCTGGGAAGAAACACATTGCTTTCTCTGGGAAAGAACTGAACAGCTGCCCAAATGTGGGAGGGAAAATATTTATTGACTATCTTTTTTTTTTCTTTGTTTACTTTGTTTTGTTTTGGGTTTTTTGGGGGAACGGGAGGTACTGGGAATTGAACTCAGGGACACTCAACCACTGAGCCACATCCCCAGCCTTATTTTATATTTCATTTAGAGACAGGGTCTCACTGAGTTGCTTAGCACCTTGCTTTTAGGCTGGCTTTGAACTTGTGATCCTCCTGCCTCAGCCTCCTGAGCTGCTGGGATTGCAGGTGTGCATTACTGCTCCCAACATCATTGACTATCTTTGAATTTTTTGATTTGAAAAAAAAACAGAACTGTATTTTTTAGACCAGTTTTAGATTTACAAAGAAGTTGTAAAGATAGTACACAGAGTCCCCTCGGTTTTCTCTTATTGATGTGAGCATAGTACATTTGTTGCAATGAACGAGCCAATATGAATACATTATCATTAACTGCAGTCCATATTTTATTCACACATTCTTAGTTCCTACCTAATGTCCCTGTTCTGTTCCAAGATCCTATCCAGGATGCCAGATGACATTTATGCATCACGTCTCCTTTGACTCCTTGATTGCGGCAGTTTCTCAGATTTGCGCTGTGGCTGAGAATCTTGGCAGCTTTGAGTAGTACTGGTCAGGTATTTTGTGACGGTTCCTCAACTGGAACTTTTCTGTTGTTTTCTTGTGATTGAACTGGGGTTATGGGTTTTTAGGAGGAAGACCAAAGACAGAGTTTTTGTCATGTCATGTCAAGAGCCCTTCCTGTGAACATGACCTGTGACTGTTGGTGTTGATCACCTGGCCGAGGTACTATTAGCAGGTTTCTTCTGAAAAACGTATTCTTTTCTCCTGTTTCTATTCTGTACTCTTTGGAGGGAAGTCACTATAGGAAACCTACACTCAGAGAATGGGAGTTGCACTGCATCTCTTTGAGGATAGAGTATCAATGTGAATTATTTGGAACTCTTCTGCATAGAGTATTTTGACTTTTTATTATAATTTTTTTTTGGTACTGGGGATTGAACCAACCAAGATTGCTTAACCACTGAGCCATATCTTCAGCCTTTAAATTTTTTTATTTTGAGATAGTGTCTTCTTAAGTTACTTAGGGCCTTGCTAAGTTGCTGAGTCTGGCCTTGAACTTGTAATCTTCCTGCTTCAGCCTCCCATATTGGCATTTTGACCTTTTAACCATGTATTACTATATTTAGAAAAAAATATTTAAATCTGATCTTTAATAGAAATACACACACACACAAACACACTCACATATGAAAGTGACTAATATAGCAATATTTCTTCCCTGGGCTTTGATAGCAACCGTGGTGGGCCAGAATGAGCTCCGAGCTAACTTTACTATTTCCCACCTGACATTAAATTAGGCACTTATGTTTCTCTTGCTTCAGCTCTCCCATCCATTAAATGGAAAAAAACAGAGATGTTAGAAGAATATATTAGATAATATGGGGGAAAGGGTTCTGCAAACTGTAAAGTTTGTCAAAACAGGCCTTATTAGCTGGGCATGGTGGTTTATGCCTGTAATCCCATTGGCTCAGGAGGCTGAGGCAGGAAGATCACAAGTTCAAAACCAGCCTCAGCAACTTATCGAGGCCCTAAACAACTCAGTGAGACTCTATCTCTAAATAAAATACAAAATAAATAAATAAATAAATAAAAGGGCTGGGAATGTGGCTCAGGCTCAGTGGTTGAGTGCCCAAGTTCAATCCTCAGTACCAAAAAAAAAAAAAAAAAAAGTGAGGGAGTTGTATGTAGGAAGGGCCCTGAGAATTGAGTGAGTTGCTTTGGGGCCTCTGAGATGGAATTTGTTCCTTCCCACCCAGTGCTAAATTCATAGCACCTGAAGGCACTAGGTACCCCAGGCAGGGGAAGAATAGCACAGTGGTGAAACATTCCTGCCTGTGACCCTTGCAAGTTATTAAACCTGTCTAAGCCTCACAACTCTCAAGTATAGAATGAAGGTAAGAGTGACATGCTCACATAGGGCTGTTGTGAGAAATGAAAGAGATAACAGCACTTACTATCATGCCTGGCCTTGTTAATATCACTTTTTTTTTTTTTTTTTTGCACAGAAGTTGAATGGGGCGCTTAACCACTGAGCCCCAGCCCCAGCCCTTTTAAAAATATTTTACTTAAGGCTGGGGCTGTAGCTCAGTGGCAGAATGCTTGCCTGGCATGCGTGAGGCACTGGGTTCGATCCTCAGCACCAAATACAAATAAATAAAATAAAGTCATTCTGTCCATCTACAACTACAAAAAAAATTAAAAAATATATTTTATTTAGAGACAGGGTCTCACTGAGTTGCTTAGGGCCTCGCTAAGTTGCTGAGGCTGGCTTTGAACTTGCAATCCTCCTGCCTAGCCTCCTGAGCCACTGGGATTATAGGTATGTACCACCATGCCTGGCCAATATCACTTTTTTAATTAATCTTTATCCTCTTTCTATTGTACAGTTGAGGAAACTGAGTTTATGAGGGCTAAGTGATGGGCGCAATGTCTCCTGTTGGTAAGTGGCAATATTGTGCTCACAGCTCAAGTCTCTGAGACTCCAAAGCCTATGTTCATTCCAGTGCCGCACATGACCTCTACCCACAGCTGAGCTTCCTCTGATTCTTCGAACCTCTCCCTCCTCTCTCCTGCTCAGGGGTGACCCCAGCATCTACAGTGCTCCCTCTGTTCCAACTGGGTTGTATCTGGGGTAGGAGGCAGCAGAGGGAGAAACCTTCCTACCTTGGTGAAGACCTGTCCTTCCGATCCCTGGCCATCTCCAGGACAACAGGAGTCCCAGGCTTCCCCTCCAACAACCCCTCAGGCCTACCCTATCTCTCTGATCCCCTAACAGCTCCTGACAGCTACCTCCAGTCCTTCCCAGGCTGATCAGAAGGAGAGAAGACTCCAGGCCTGGACTTGCTCTGCCTGGACCTCCCAAAGCCTTTCCTCTGTTGTCCCAGTGCCCCCATCTCCATTCCAGCTCCTGTCCCCGTCAGCAGAAGCTGAGAAACCCATGATAAGGCCTGTAGCTGTGCAGAATGCAAGCCACAGGGAAATCTCCTGGCTACAGTCTTTGAAATGCAGGAGGCCTGGATTTCCATCCAGGCCCTGCCTCTCCCAGCCTCTGTTTCCTGGTTTATAACATCAAATGACGATCATATATAATCACTATAATCACTACTGCTTTCTGGTTGTTGTGAGGCCTAAAGAGTGAGGGCTGTAAGCACCAGCTGGCATCTGGTTAGGCCTGGTAGGTAAGCGGCAATCTAAGCAGCAGCCAGGGATGAAGCGGTCGAGGGAATGGCACCATGAAGGAGGCTGGTGGATGTGCCCTTGGGATCCCATGGCCTCCCCTGTGATTCTAGGATGTTATTTTGGTGACCCTCATAATGCAAAGACACAGCCAGGTACAGTGGTGCACACCTGTAATCCCTAAGCAACTGTAAGGCCCTAAGGAGGCTGAGGCAGGAGGATCACAAGTTCAAAGCCAGCCTCAGCAAAAACGAGGTGCTGAGCAACTCAGTGAGACCCTGATGTGGCTCAGTGATTGAGTGGCTCTGAGTTCAAACCCTGGTATCAAAAAAAAAAAAAAAAAAAAGAAAGAAAAAGAAAGAAAGACACATCCCAGATAGCCTTCTCAGCACCCCTACCCCAGGCACAATCACAGTCTGCTCCCCATCACTGTGGCACTGAGGACAAGCCAAAGTATTCCTTACTGGGCCTGTATCCATCCCTGCCCAGGAAGATGGGGCTCTATTGGTGGGACAACAGGGTCAGCTGTCCTTACACATGTTGGTAACTCATTGGTCTGTGTTCCCTTTTCTCCACACTGGGGAACTCCAACAGGATTCCCTCCTCTCCAGCAGTCATATTTTCCAAATGATCCGATGCACCCGTGCATCTTCCACACACCCAACAGGCCAGCCATGCCCCTGCCCATACTGTCTCCTCCTCAATCTCTTCCTTGCCCTGGCCTCTCAGGACCTTTGGCCTGTCGGGTCTTAGCTGTCTCCACTGAGGAAGCCACCTGGCCAGGGCTTATGCAGAGGTTTAGATCTGCTTACCTCTCTCCTTGCCCTCAGAGGGACTGAGGCTTTTCACTGTTAAGGAAGATACCCAGGCCTGAAGCTGAGGATTGAGAACAAGACCTGGCCTTCCCTCGACAG